TCCTCTGGGCAACCTGTTCCCAGTGCCTCACCACCCTCACAGTAAAGAATGTGTTCCTAACATCTAATTTAAATCCCCCCTGTTTTAGTTTAAAATTGCTACCCCTTGTTCTATCACTATTGAATGTGTAAAAAGTCACCTTTTAAGCATCACCTCTCTCCCTGGAGTTGTCTCTTCTCCACACTAAACAAACCCAGCTTTCTCAGTCTGTCTCCATAGGAGAGGTGCTTCATTCCTTCGATCATCTCTGTTGCTGTCCTCTGAATTTGCTCAAACAGATCCACATTTGTCTTGTGCTAAGGACTCCAGAGCTCAATGCAGTACTCCAGGTGGAGTCTCATGCGAGCAAAGCAGAGAGGCAGAATCCTGTCCCTTGCCATGCTGCTCATACTGCTTTGGATGCAGCCCAGGGTGCAGTTGGGTTTTCTGGGCTGCAGGAGCACATGGCCAACTCATGTCCAGCATTTGTCTGCCAGAACATCCATGTCCTTCTCAGCAGTGCTGCTCTCAATGAGTTCCTCTCCCAATTGATACCTGTACCTGGGATTGCCTTGACCCAGGTGCAGCACCTTTTACTTGGACTTGTTGAACTTCATGAGGTTCTCATGGTATCACTTCTCAAGCTTGGTCCAGGTCCCTCTCGATGGCATCCCATCCTTTTGTTGTATCAATGGCAACACTCAGCTTCATGTCATCAGCAAACTTGCTGAGGATAAGCACTGAATGTAGGTTTAAGGCTTTCTGCTACAACTTTTTAAAAGGAGTAAGTAAACTTCATGGTCAAGTTTTCAGGCTGTTGTTCTCTGAGCAAAGGTATTTTGTAAACTCAGGTTTACAGAGATAGAAATTGAAATGTTAGCTGATGACCTTTTGGAAAGCAAAGCAAGATTTATTTGAAATGCCATAATCATATAAAATAATACATCCAAAATAAGCTTAGGCTCTGCAATCTGATGTAAATTAAATGGTATGAAATGTGATAAAAGTAATAATGCTTGATACCTGTATCAGTGTGACTACTGTCATGTACAGTGTCCAAAAGCATCAAAGATTTTTGGTCAGCTCTAGTGTTTACAAGCTGCCTTTTCAAATCTTGCAACCAATTACGTATGCACTTCTAGACCACAGGAGCTCAATATTTTTCACATTAAATATTCATTTTGTTAGTGATAAAATAATCCTACAACATGTAAAAAACCCATGCCCTGTTTCACTGTGGCATAATTTTTAGAACTTTTCTCCACAGAGAGGAAAGAACTAATTCAAACACAAAGTTGATCACTTTGTAACTTTATGCGGTATCAGACCTCAGTCTCACATTGAATTAACTATTTCCCAGAGAAAAGTCAAGGAAAAAAAACCCTGTAACGCAGAGTCTCCTGTGTTATCAAAAGCATTTGACGACTTGGGTTCCCAGCAGTTTTTGTACTGAAGTCAGCTTGGAGAAAATTCTAATTAGAGATGCAGAATTTCCTCTCATGTCCTTTTCTGATGAAAGCTGGAATACATGAAGGTAAAATGATATCGACAAAGCTGAACACCATACTTTAAAGAAAAATGTGTTCCCCTGATAGATGTGAGATGTTTCAACTAGGTGATATTCCTTATTTCTAAGGAACTGTGGCATATGAAGACAGTTGATACCTGCCTGAGGTACAGAGGATTTGTTCCAAAAAGTACATTAGACGTCTGTTCAGCTGCACAGGAGGGAGAGTAGTGGAATACCCGTAGCTAAAATTCTACAAAATTCTTATAACTTTTAGCAATTGTAAGAATACTAAAATCCCAAGTCCACAGTTCTACAACCAAGTTGCAGCTTTGCACTAGAAGAGCGGATAAACACAAGTGGCATGAGCAAGAAATCACTCAATTTGTGCAAAAAGAATCATAAAACATAATTTTCAAGAATATAGAGACAGTGATGTGCTCTAAAACATGCACGAAAGGCAGAGTTGTGCTGGGGGCTGTCTGAGACTCACGTGTGAACTCTAGCACGAGTTTGTACTACAAGAATTGCAGGCTTTGGCTCAAAACATGCCACCACACCTATCCACTCTACACCCATGCCCCAGGATGCTGTCCACTTGAAACCCTTTCAGCAAGTCCTTCATACACACTTACTATAATATGTTGAATGTGTAAACAATTGGCACCAAAGGGGTCCTACCCACCAAGTAAGATAAGCAGCATGACTGAAGCTAAGTCAGAGCTACAAATTCAGTTCTACCTGTCTCATGTCATCTTAATACAGGAGTTGGTATGATATGTGAAATTTAGACAGGGGAGTAAGGGGAAAATCCCAAAGGGAATCCTAATTTTGACTTGCTAATTGTATTTTAATAAAGAAGAATAAACTTCAAGGCAACCCAAGCAGATTACATTACCCTTTGCACATAAAAGCTAAACTAAAACGAGGCTGTTTATATACAAAAATCCTAAACCAACATCTTGTTTATTTTCTCACCAAGGCCAGAAGTACAGAGATAATAAAAATGTAACAGATGAAACTCAGATGTGCACTACACAATAGCCCTCTATACCACCATGAAAAAGTACTAACTACCTAAACAAAATAGACTGCTTATTTCCCAATGAAAATACTTAACACTTCTGTCAAGAAAACTGTCACCATCATTCTGATTCTCTCATCTCCACACTTCATAGATGTCTCAATTCACTACGTGTGTGAATCAAATCTAAGAAGTCACCAATTCCCAGAACTAATTAATTCCTACAATTAATCACACAAGAAAAATGTCTTCAAGCTAAAAGGAATAAAGATTTTAAAAGCGAAGGCGCTTGATATTTATTAATCAATAATCAGAAGAGCCCTAGTTCTGCCAAAGTTCTAAATTATCTTGTTCACAAGAGTGTTTCTTCTCCACTAAGTCATACAGGTTATCCTTCATAACAGCCTTGCATTACAGGTTCTTTTACAAGAATGCAGTAACTGTTTCAAAAGTCCCCAAATATGGAGAGCTTATTACACCAGAAAGAGTAATTCTTAATGGTGACAAACCATGACACAATGCAAAGGACAACAGTGAATTCTGTCACAGTCCATTTCAAATATATGAAGTTGCCATTAGCTGAAGAAGGCAAAAATTGTGTCTCTTCCACTGCTGAGGGCTGAAAATGACAGAATCATTTAGGCTGGAAAACGCCTCTGAGATCATCAAGCCCAACTTTTGACCAAACACTACTTTGTCAGCTAGACCACAGTCCTAAGTGTCACCTTAGAACACCTTCAGGGATGGTGACTCCACCACCTCCTTGGGCAGCCTGTTCCAATGCTTTACAATCCCTTCAATTAAGAATGCAGGATAACACATAAGGATCCTTCCCAGTCCCCTACCAAAGACAGGGAAACATGAAAGACTTTGTCTCAAGATTACAGCTAGGCATGTGCCTACATGTGGCATACACTGCTACACTGGGTTTTAAAGGAACTCCAGGATGGCCTTTCAAAGCACACACTTCTATACAGAGCCTTATCTCCCCAACCCACATAGGAACAGGAGTCTAGGGGGGGGAATCTGCTTCCAATGTCGACACCACAAGGGACTTGATGCGACAGAAAGCAGGACTAAAGGCACTCTGCACTGCTCAGTTATACAATATGGCAGAGCCACATATGAGAATGCCACAACTGACTCATCTCGCCCTCCCTCACCAAGGCCATGTCTGACAAGCGAGCAGAGCCCTGCCCCTGCCTGGCTCCACCACCTCACACTCCCGACACCTGTGAGCTGGCCTGACAACAGCAGGATGCTGCAGGCACCGGGGACAAAAACTATGTTGCTGATTACCGATCACATCCACTGCAAAGTCAAACAACTAGATAATTTTTAAGACTGTGGTTGTACTGTAACTGTATTTACAAAAGAAGCGGTGTATGCAGGATAGCATTTCGAGCTGCATAAAAGGAAACACGCAGTTTGTTCCATTCCACAGCACATGCTATATAAGCTTTTCAGCTTTCCTTTGTAAGTTACAGATCTGGCACAAAATTAGGAATCTGGCAGTTTTTATTTAGCCTCCAAAGTGCTGTATTTTGACCAGAAGACCAGCTAAGCAAGTCTTTAAAAAGCAGCAAAGGAATCCAGTCCTGGCCACACCCTGCCGTGGTGGGGCTGTCTGCTGGTGTTACAAAACCCAGCCAGGTACTCAGTGTACAGGACAGCCCAGCAGAAAAAATAGAAATAAATACATACAAAAGTTTAAAAAATGATATAATTATCTAAATATAAATAAAATATAAAAACATATCCGCATATATATATCTTACAATATATAGCAGGTATATATAACCTATCTATATTATACATAGATATAAAATACAACTAAATAAAACCAAAAACGAGACACTCGAGCTGCCCTGGAAAGCGAAGCGCCCAAGTGCTGTATTTCACCAGCAGCCTGGCGAGGCCAAAGCCGCATTCGACGCCTCTTGGATTTTTACGGGGAGAACGCAGCACATTCTGTGACCCCGGGCGAGAAGGGGCTGCGAGTGCCAGCACAGCCGTGCCCGCGGTGTACGAGCGCGTTCGCTCCGCCCGCGGGGGTGCGGGGGCGGCTCCGCGCCCGCCGGGCCTGAGGAGCCCACCTGGCCCCGCGGGATACTCACTCCTACCCCGCGGGATACTCACTCCTGCCCGGGCCGGGGCTCCCCCGCTCCCCCTCGCTTCCTCTCCTCCTGCCGCCGCTGCCGCCGCTGCCGCCGCAGCCTTACTGGGCGGCGCCGGGGCGGCCCCGCTGAGCCGCGCACCTGCCGCAGGTGAGGCGGGCGGGGCCGGGGCGATTGCGGAGCGCCAGCTCCCCTTCCCGCCAGCGGCTTCTCAGTAGCACCGGCGCTGCCCGGTGCTGTCCCGTCCCGCCCCGTCCCTCCCTTCCCGCCGGCCCGGGCACGTTCCACACTTCCCTCCTTTTTCCCCCCTCGAAACAGGCGAGTCCCTCAGCCGCCTATAACAGCTGGTGCCGTAAAGCGAGGCGCGGGCGGCGCGACAGCCGCGAGGTCCTCTGAGCGAAGATGGCGGCGGTGGAGTCGAAGTCGGTGCTGTTCGTGTGCCTGGGTGAGCGGGGCGAGGGATGGCCGCTCCCGCGCTGCGCCCACCGCTCCTGCTCTGTGCCCGCCGCTCCTCGGCCCGGGGCACCGGCAGGGTGGGGCGGGAGCGCTGTGAGGCGAGGGCCGGAACTGGGGAAAGTGCGGCAGGCCCACCGCGGTGTCGCAGGCGTCCCGCCCTGAGACGGTTCCGCTGGTTTGCCGTGTCGGGGAGGGCCGGAGTAGTAGCTAGGAAGGGAGGCGGAATGCAACTGCGCCTTTTTTGCAATAGGAGCAAGGAAGAAGCGCTTAGTGTTGAGGGTGGCAGAGCACTGGAACAGGTTGCCCAGGATGGTCGTGGAGTCTCCCTCTCTAGAGACGTTCCAAACCCACCTGGACGCGTTCCTGTATAACCTGCTCTAGGTGACTCTGCCTCGACAGGGGGATTGGACTAGATAATGTTCAGAGATCCCTTCCAGCCCTAATAGTTCTGTGATTCTGTGAAATCAGTGGGAAGTAGTAAAAGAAGTAAAATGCAGTGTTGACAAACGAAAAGGTTGTGTGTGGGGAAGCGCAACACCTAAAAAGGCATAAACCAGCTCTGACCTTAGGCTGCTCCTTAGGGGCAGCACGGAGAGGTGGCTTTGAACGGCTTTCTGAGATGGATTGTGCAGCACTTGGCTTCTGGAACAGCGGGATGGGAACGGGGAGTCTGCCCGCTGGCTTGCTGTTGGGAGCACCAGGCATGGGAAAGGGAGAGAAAACCACAACAAGAACCCCTGACGTTAATGTTAGAGCCGCTGTAAAAAGGGGGAAAGAAGGGTAGGAATATAAGAGAAAAAAAAAAAACAACTTGATGGAGGCTGATCTGTTAGGATCTAATAATGAAATTCTTGATCTGGTATGAAAACGAGTGAAAAGAATAAGACTTTTTTGAAAGGCTACCAAAAGGAAGCAATAGGAAACTTTCTTTTACTGATATTTTTTCATGCTTCAGTTGTAAATCTTGTCACACCAAGTCCCAGAAAACAGAAGTGTAGATGGGATCAGAAATCACCTGAATGCTTTTCTGGAGTTTAGGACAATCAATTACTGGTAAGCAAGATAATCATAACTAGCCTGACTATATAGATTACTGAGCCATGCCCCATTTTGTACATGCTTTCTCTAAACTTCTGCTTTCTTCAGTGCATAACAAGCTGGATGGCTCTCTGCTCTGATGTAGGTGGGCTGTTAACATTATCTACTTCCTAGCCCACATAATCTTACCTATGTGCTGTGAATCCCTGGCATTTTGCCTATTTTATTGCAAAACCATTAGTTAATGTTTGGACTTTTTGCTATCTGCCTTTTTTGTTGTTGTAATAGGAGACATGCAGATTACCTGAATAGCAAAATAAGAGTTTAGTTTTGTGAAATAAGTTCTGATGTTTACATTACAGTAAAATCAAGCCCTAATAATAATCCAGGGAAAACATTCTTTAGTAAGGGATTATCAGTTGCTGTGTGTTTAGAAGCTAGTGGTCAATACAATGCAAATGTTGTTGTACAAAAACATCTTAATTAATATGAATCCTTTCTCCCAAACATGATGTTCTAAAGATAGTGGTAATCACTGACCCTATGTGTTGAAGGGTGAGCCAGTGGGTAAGAAGATTGGCCTGGCTGGAAGTGAAGGAAGAAAGGAGAAATTATGACCTTTGGAAGAAGAGGCAGGCAACTCAGGAGGACTAAAGGATGTAATGAGGTTATGCAGGGAGAAAAATTAGAAGGTCCAAAATCCAGCTAGAATTTAAAGTGTTTACTGCCATAAAAGACAAAAGAAAATATTACTATAAATACATCAGCAGCAAAAGGAGGCTAAGTAGAATCTCCATCTTTGTTGGATGCAGGAGGAAATAGTGACAAAGGGTGAGGAAAAGTCTGAGGTGTTTCATGTCTTTTTTGCCTCAGTCTTGCATGCTAAGACCAGTTCGTCTCTGTGTACCAGCTCCCTGAGTTGGGAAACAGGGATGGGTAGTAGTATCACAGATTCATAGAATAGATTCACAGGTTCATTAAGGTTGGAAAAGACTTTGAAGATCATCAAGTCCAGCCTTTGACCAACCACCAGTCTCTCAACTAAACCATAGCACTAAGTGCCACGTCCAGTTAGTTCTTGAGCACTTCAGGAACAAGGACTCTCTCACCCTGCTGGGCAGCTCCTTTCAATTCTTAACCACCCTTTCAATGAAAAATTTCCTCCTGCTGTCCAACCTGAACCTCCACTAGTGCAGCTTGAGTCCATTTCTTCTTCTATTACGAGTGGTCTGGGAAGAGACCAACTCCCACTTGTCTACAGTCTCGGGTATTGTAGAGAGTGATAATGTCTCCCTGAGCCTCCTTTCCTCCAGCTTACACAACCCCACCTTCCTCAGCTGCTTCTCACAGGACTTGTGTTCCAGACCCTTCACCAGCCTTGGCACCTTTTCTGGACACACTCCAGCACCTCAGTGTCTTGTAGTGAGGGGCCAGAACTGAATGTAAGATTCAAGGTGTGGCCTCACCAGTACTGAGTACAGGGGGACAATCACTGCCCTGGTCCTGCTGGCCACACTATTGCTGGTACAGGCCCAGATGTCACTGGCCTGCTTGGCTGCATGGGTGCACTGCTGTCAGCTGGGTGTCAACCAGCACTTGTAGGTCTTTTTCTGCCAGGCTGCTTTCCAGCCATATTTCCTGTACTGAGGGAGCTGCTGGAAGTGCTCACTGAGCTGCTTTCAATGATTTACCATCAGTCTTGGTCAGCTGGGAAGGTTCTGGTTGACTGGAGGTTGGCAAATGTGACGCTCATCTACAAGAATGTTTGAAAGAATGACCTGGCGAACTAAAAGCCTGCTAGCCTGATGATGGTGTCAGGGAAGGTCATAGAGCAGATCGTTGTGAGTGCCATCATGTGGCACAGAACAACCAGGGCATCAGGCCAGGCTTTAGGAATTAGGGTTTATGAAAGGCAAGTCTTTGCTTGAATGACCTGATCTTCTGTGACCAGGTGACCTGCCTGGTGGATGAGAAAAAAGAGGTTTGTTGTCTACCTGAACTTTGCTATAACCTTTAACACTATTTACCACAACATTCTCCTGGAAGAACTGGCTACTTAGGGCTTGGGTGGGTGCACTGTTTCTTGGGTAAAAAAACTGGATGTGTGGGCCCAAAGTAGTCGTGAATGGATTTACACCTAGTCATGAGTATTGGTTCCCCAGGGCTCAGTATTGGGATCAGTCCTGTTTAATATCTTAATCAGTAATCTGGACAAGGGGATTGAGGACTGCTGTAGTCAGTTCACAGGTAGCACTAAGTTGGGTGGGGGTGTTGATTGCTGGAGTATAGAAAGGCTCTGCAGAGGGAGCTGGACAGGCTGGATTGAATCCAACTATAGGAGGTTAAACAAGACCAAATGCTGGGTCCTGCCCTTGGATCACAACAACCCCCTACAGTGCTGAGGGCAGAGTGTCTGGAGAGCTGCCTGGTGGTAAATGACCTGTGAGTGCTCGTTGACAGCAGCTGAACATGAGCCAGTGTGTGCCCAGGTGGCCAAGAAGGCCAATGGCACCCTGGCCTGTATCAGCCATAGTGTGGAAAGCAGGATCAGGGAAGTGATTGTCCCCCTGTACTCGGCACTGGTGAGGCTGCATCTCAAGTGCTGTGTCCAGTTCTGAGCTCCTCAATCAAGAAAGACATTGAAGTGCTGGGCTGTGTCCAGAGAAGGACACACCAGCAAAGCTGGTGAAGGGTCTGGAGCACAAGTCTGATGAGGGGTGGCTATGGGAGCTGGAGTTGTTTAGCCTGAAGAGAAGGAGGTTCAGGAGAGACCTTGTCACTCTCTACAATACCTGAAATAAGTTAATAGAGACAAGATGAGAGGAAATGTCTCAAGTTGCACCAGGGAAGGTTTAAATTGGGTATTAGGAAAAATTTCATCACAAAAGGGTTGTCAGGGATTGGAAGGGTCTGCCCAGAGAAATAGTTGAGGCTCCATAGCTGTTTAACAGACATGTAGACATGGTGCTTAAGAACGTGGGTCAGTGATGGACTTGACAGTGCTGGGTTAACAGATGTGATCTTCACGGTCTTTTCCAACCATAACTATTCTATGATTTTGTGAAATAATTAATACGTGTGGTTTTGTAAGCCCACAGTGGTGATTTGCACTATGACAAGGTTCTAATGCAGGAGCTCTTTTTAGTGTAATATATAATAGTTTGTATTAATTATTAGACCTTTATTAGGGAATTATTAGGAAAGGGTGGACAAGTGCCAATCAGTACCAATGTTAATAGGATGGATTGTTTTAATCAAATGTAAATAAGTTTTTAATTTCCTCTTTTCTGTTACTGGATTATAAAGAAAAAACCTTAGTGATATGCGGTGTGAAAAACTTAATTGATGTGATAAGCGTTTCTATTTTTCCAGTCAAATAGTCAAATATACACTCTTCTCAGTTAAATGTTGTAGGCAGCTTGTTTCCTGTTCCTGCTTTAAGTTTGATTAATATTTTTTTTTTTTATTATTCTTCAAGAGTGATGCCTTTTTCCTCCTAAATTTTACTAGGAATAATAGCTGAGATTTTGTTGAAAAGTACTAAACAGATTTCCAGAACTGCATTTAACTGTAGTGTTCTTTGCTGGTTAATGCAGTACATTAATTCTAACGTTTGCCACATCTAGTGAGAGTGGGTTCCAGAAAGGACATTTCTTCATGAAAAACTACATTTTCTTTCTACATTGTTTTGAATTAAATGTCTATTGGTTGTGTTATTTGTTTGTAATGAAATAAGCAGATAGTCATTACACAACAAAATACAATCTAGTTAATGTGCATAACTGCATTAATGATAAGGATTCCTCATCACTGAGAAATAATTGAAATACCCAGCAACATATGTAATTACATATGAAAAGGCACCAGAAAATATATTTTTTTTTCATTTAAGCATAGAAATAATTAAAAGTGGAGATGAATCAAAATGTACTTTGCTCATTTTACACTTACATAGCTCATGTAATTAGTAGTTGAGCTTCAGAAATGGGCTTAATATGATGCTGTGTTATATAAAGTCTGCCTCTTTCTCTCTGATGACTTCTCCACTATAACACAACAAGCTGACTGGCTTAGACCAGGCTTTCTGATCTCCTCCAGAGATGGAGGAGCAGTTGTAAGATGGGTGTACTGTTGGGTGTACAAAGTGAGTTTGGCTAAGTCTTCAGAAGATTAATGCATGTTGTGAATCACTGAGTACAAGTATTGTCCCTGGGGATCTAGACTGCACAAAATTGTTCCTGAAATGGCAACTAACTTAGTGGGTATGAGGATATTAGATGACAGTTACAGAGAGGTTCCTCACAGATGGTACAGTATTTCCTAAGTTATGGATTGACAGACATATTTGGAGAGTGAAGGGAAAATTTCACTGAAAGAGTCATAGGGCAATTACCTTCCTCCTTGGACTAAAACCATTCTTTTCCTTAAACGTTATCTACACATTATCTTCACTATCTATCCTCCTCTGGTGTTGCTTTCCTCTTTGTTGTATTTCCAGCCAATCTGATCATGCTGGCTTTATGTAGAAGATAGCAGCATTCGAATTCTCAAATATCCATCTTCTCCCTTCATTTTTTTGCATATCAAGGCCTTTAAGTTGTAGTGACATTTTCAATCATAGAAAACTAGTGGCCAAACTACCTAGAGTTTGCCAACTGAAATTAATCCTACAAACATCTCCAAATACAATGATTCAAGGACGAGGGAGTTCAGTCACAGAATCAGTACTGGAACCATTTGTCAATCACTTTTATGAAGTCATATGTTCTCATTCATTTTCTATGCACAGAGCCTCCAGTGACAGTGACCTACGCCAACACCTGATTTTTTGAGTTCTTACTCTGGTCTCTACACAGAGAAGTGGAAAAAACCTGTTTATTTAACAGGCAAAGCACTACCCAGCACAAAAATGAATAATACTAAACAGCAAAGCCTGGGAAGACCAATGTGGGATGTAAAACTGTATCTGTAATGGATAGAAATTAGTGAGAAAAGTGACTGAAAAACAAGGATTAAGTTTGCATATGTTAGTGGGATAAGATAGGGCTTTACGTCAATCTTGAGATGAATGATAACAGTTGCAAGGAGTAGCAGAGGTAAAAGTTGTTCATGAGGAAAATAATATTGCAGAGTATGTGGGGAACAGAGCTTCTGTTAAGTCAGTTCTGTAATTCTGTCTGTAGTTCCCAAGAACAGATTTGAATGCTGATTAAAGTTCCCTAACAGTGTTAATATCTCTGCTAATACCTGGAATGTGTCATCAGGGAAGACATTAATTTTTAAGTCACAAACTGGGTTAAGTGTTGGTTTCAGAAATGATACAACTGATTTCTAGTTACTGCTAGAAGTGGTAGTTAATATGTTTAATCAAGAGTGATCGTGGTGCTGTTCGTTACAGTATTTTATATACTATCATTAAAGATTATATTTATGGCATATATTTTAAGAAGTGAACAAACTGTAGAAGAGTGAAAATTTGGAACAAGTTCAATCCATGTGAAGCAGAAGGCTAAACAAATGGAAAAAGCCAGGAGAGATTTATTTCTAAACCACTGTTTTGAAATTCTGGGAGCTAGTTAATGAATTACTAGGTCCAAGAATATTAATCTTTTTTTTTTTTTTTTTTTTTTTTTTGTACTGAAATGGTGAGAGTAGTAATGAAGGTAACCATGCACAGTTGTGTAGGATCATTCATACAGAGAAAATTTTTTTTTCAGGATGATATGATGGCCTCAACAGCTGGTGTAATGGAAACAGAATGTAATAGTTTAGAAAAAAGACTTAAAGATGACCTATTTGAAGTAACTGAGAAAGAGGGGGAATGGACAAATTATGAATATGGAGTTATAATCATAAATTTGATACTCGTGAATGAGTCAAAGGTGATTGTAGAAGTTCTCAGGATATTTTCAAAAACACTAAGCACTTGTTACAGACTTTTATTTAAAAAACAAATTGAAACAAACTTTTCCTGTAGTATAATATGTCATTTTGTTTGTCAGTATTCAAGAAAAGTAATTTCAAATTAGAAGAAGAGCAGATCTGACTTAACTGGAGTGATTAGATAAGGTCAGTTAATTTCATGAAGATTGGTTTGTTTCGTTTGGCACAGCTATGCTTGGCAAGAGTTCTGTGTCTGTTGAAGGAAAGACAGAGACTGGTGTTAACCAAGATCAGATGAGCAGAGACTTCTAGGAATAAATACTAAGTTGAAACTGGAAGATCTTAGGCTGCCGCAGGAAATTAACATCTGGAATAGCCTTTTAAGATAGATGATGCTTTTTTTAAAGGGAGCTTGATGTGTTTTTAAGAGGAGCAATGCTGTATAGGCTTGCAATATCAAAGAATTGAGTTCATTGATATGAAGGTTATTTTCTGTCTTGTGCTGTATGTTACCATGTTTTGAAACTGTATTGTTTAATGCTTAACTCAAAAAGTGAGATTATTTTTCTACTTTATTACCTTATTTTAAACATTTTCATAATTAATAGTACTAACTTCTTTTCTCACTTAACCACATAGGGAGCCTCAAATTTTTCCTGCTTTGTTTTTCTTCCAAGACTGATTTCATTTCTGTGCATTAAATAAACTAATTCAAACAATGGAATTAGTATGTTTTCTGCTGGAAGAAGATGTACTGACATAGAACTCAATGTTTTGGCAAGATCAATTTTTCAATGGTTAGCCTATTCCTTTTGCCTTTTAGTTGATTTGATGTTCTCTAAATCTTTGACAGTCAATTTCTGTTGCTTCAGACCTTCACGTCCCTCTTTCTGACTTTTCTAGTTCACGTGTGACAGCAAGTTGTTAAATGCCCAGGTCATAGCAGCTTCTCTCTTTAGCAGTGAAGTATCTACCTTGGTGTTTTGTTTGAAAATGAGATTAAGTGCCTCATGTGAAAATGTCTTTTTTTGCTGATGGAAATTTAGCTTTATTCATTGGCATTTTTTTCTTTTTACAGTTTGAGATTTGGAAAGAATGTAATCAGCAGTAGAAGAGTGAGTTATTTAAGGATACAAAGATGAGTTTCACCATTTCTGGTATTTTATACTTATCTGTTCAAAAATCAGAGATGAGCAAAGTCACACATTTTGATGGGAACTGAAGATTTGTGTGTATGAGTTACTGCCATCTGTGTGGCATATCAAATATGAATATCCATCTAGTTACTGAAAATTTTGGAAGGATGGGGAGGTAGAAGGAACTGAAGTAATAGTTGAGTAGACTTTTTTTTGAGACACTTCATTCTTTTCAAATATGAATTTCTGCATGCATTTTTAAGAGGTCTGCCATAGATTGTCACAGTTGTAGTTACAGTTTCAGAACAAATATGCTGTAGATCCATTATTTTTAGTTTCTAATGGGGCTGTAATGCATTGTCGAAATAGGTTCTTTTTGAAAATAAGGTCAGATCAAGTGGCTAGGGCAGTTGGAGGCCATTGAAAGGGAAGATTGTTTATGTATTTGAATAAGTATCTTAACTGTTTGTTGGCTGATTGACAGCACTTAAGCTTTGCCACATGTTAGGTTTTGTTCCTAATCCTCTGTATTTTGGGCAAAAAAAGTTAGGAATTTATTTTTCCTGTGATATTTTTAGAGCTTGTGTAATTGAATTCAATTTTTGAGGGTTAGAATGGGTTTCTGGATGCTGCTCTTGATGAGGGTTGAGTTTTACCTATAGTGACTTGACTTCAGTGACCAAGAGCAGTTTTACTACAGGTTGTTCAGCCATTTCATTACATTTTCACAATGGTGGTGACTGTGTTTTGGACTTGTTCAAGAGACCAATGAATAGTATAGAATCCTAGAATGATTTGGGTGGGAGGGGACCATCAGCTGGATCATCTCATGTGACCGCAACCTTCTGCCATAAGCAGGGACACCTTCCACTAGACCAGGTTGCTCAAAGCCCCATCCAGCCTGGTCTTGAACATTTCCAGGGATGGAACACCACAATTTCTCTGGGCAATCTGTTCCAATGTCTCACCACCCTTACTATTAAAAAAAAATAAAAAATTCTTATGTCTAATACAAGTCTTCTCCATTTCTGTTTTAAACCGTTGTCCCTTGTCCTATCACTACAGCCCCCTTTATATATAGAAAGGTTGCAGTAAGATCTGATCTTCCCAGTATTTTTCTTCTTCAGACTGCACAACCTCAGTTCTCACGTAAAGGTGCTCAGTCCTCTGATCATCTTTGTGGCCCTCCTTTGGACCTGTTCCAACAGCCCTGTGTCTTTCTTGTGCTGGGTGCCTCAGAACTGGATGCACTAGTCCAGGTGGGGTCTCATGAGAGCTGAGTAGAGGGGCAGAATCCCCTCCCTTGACCTGCTGGCTGTGCTGCTTGTGATACAGCCAAGGATTTGATTGGCTTTCTGGGCTGCACTTGGACTCTGCTGGCTCATATCCAACTTTCCACCCACCAGTGTCCCCAAGTCCTCCACTGGGCTCCTCTCAATCCCTTCATGCTACAGTCTGTACTGATATTGGAGATTGCCCCAGCCCAGGTGCAGCAGTCTGGGTTTTCACATCCACAATTTACATTCCGTCTGAGTAAATAAAAATCTTTGATCTGGGCTGAAGAGTCCACACAATTACCGTTTTTTTGTTTTCAATAGTCTGAAAATTCACTTGAATCTCTTGTTTCCATAGGAAACATCTGTCGCTCTCCAATAGCTGAAGCAGTTTTCAGAAAACTTGTAAGTGATGAAAAGCTTGAACATAAGGTAAGCTATTGATTTCTATTCCAAGAAATAACTGTCTCATAGCCAGTCAGAAATATAAGCAGTGAGGAAAGAAACATAAAAATATGAATTTGTTTTTCTGTAGTGGAGGATAGACAGTGCAGCGACATCTGCCTATGAAATAGGAAGCCCTCCTGACTATCGAGGACAGAATTGCATGAAGAAGCATGGCATTACCATGAATCATATTGCCAGGCAGGTACTGTACCTTAATTTTCTTAAAATCTGTGTATATATTTGTTTTGTTGTTACAGTGGAGGACAGACAGTGCCGCTGTTTCAGACTGGAACGTGGGGCGCTTCCCTGATTCAAGGGCTTTAAGTTGTCTAAGAAATCATGGCATTGAGACTGCACATAAAGCACGACAGGTAGAAGAGAGTATATTTTCTTCCTTATTCATACCCATGCCCTAACCATTGCAGTCACAGAAGTCATTTGACCAATGCATGGTTAAGCATCAAGTAGTAAATACTCTGTGCAGTTTTTTAAAGGACTCCAAAATGACTTAACTCTTCTGGTCAAGCTTAAAGAGTTTTTTTATTATTAAGGTTCATTGGAAGTATAACTGGAAAGCATTGAACCAATTGCATTATAGAGGACTCTTGCCTCCAAATGTTTACTATTTTGAGCATTTTCAAAATACTTTTTAAAAATGGACTTAGTCTAGTAATCTGGGATGCGTCCTTCAGCAAGGAATATTTATTTAGTAGTTCCAAAAAGAAGTAGAATACCCCTTCATCCATCACAAAAAGCTTCTGTGCTTGCATGTAGATATTTTAAAAATATCAGGAGTGCTAAATTAGAGTGAAAGCACTCAAACTCAAGATTAGTAGCACAGTTGGTGGGATCTTCAGAGGAAAACATACCCTTGAAACATTCTTAAGTCAAAGGCAGGTTTGCCAGTTAGTGAAATCCTCTTTAAGTTTTACCTAAACTCGTATCTATTTTCATTAACAAAAGAACACGTATTTCCATACTGCATTCCAGAGAGATTGGAAGTAAATGTGTCTGCATCTATTTAAATCATTCAGACACTCATATAAATGCACATAATTTACTTCAGTTAACTATTCTCTAGATATAAGATATTCCTTTAGGGCTTGACCTTCACTTAGTTTGAGTTTACACCACTAGTTTTTGTATTGACAAAAAGATCAAGTAGTCTTATTATTATCTTACATTTCTGTTCCCTTCAGAATTTTTCTAGACCTCTCTGAGGTCATATTTACTTTCTTCACTTTTCAAAGACTACATGTTTAGTTTTTTGACTTTCAAAAATAAATTCTCTCAATTAGTCAATTGCCCTCTGCTGACCTCTCCTGATGTTAATCTCTGTTTATATGAAACAGAATTAAGCACATCACCATTTCAGATTTTTCAGTAATTTACTATTAGAGTGGTTACTAAAAAAGTCTGTTGTGATCTTTTCCTGCTACAACGTCTTGATTTACTGTTTATCAGTGTATACAAACGTCATTATTTGTCAATATACAAGCTAAATGGTACTGAAATTATTCAGCGTTTCAGTCATCACATTAGTGTGACATGTTTGTCTTCTTAGAAGATATGCCTTGGAAACTTGAGAACTGTTCTTCTAGGTATTCCTAGAGCGATTTATGAGCAGTTAAATTTAAGCAAAGGACCCAAAACAAGTCGATCCTCTGTCTTGAAGCAAATCTTTGTATCTCCTTTGGCAGAAAAGGAATGAAAAGACTTTAATGAAGACATTTGCTTATACATTCTGGCAAATGAAGAGATTTTTCAGTCAGAAGAACTTTAAATGGTACATATACAGGGAAGGAAAATTAAAAAATGAGGCAATAAGATGAAAGACTAACAGGATGAAAATTTGTCTAAATCATTCCAGTACACACAGTTTCTTTTGTAAAGAAAATCTTCAAATCCCTGAACTACAGGTAACACTTTGTTTTGCACTAATGTTAACAGTGTAACTCCAAATTTATTTTTTTTCCTTAACTTCTGTCAGATGGTCTCTGCTGATTCTCTGAGCTGCAGACCTGATGGGGTCTTGTGGTACTTCTGAAAAAAGAGGTACTTGACAGTGTAGAATAGGACATTGTGGAGTGGTCAGGTTAGTACAAGTGCAAGTGTATTTGTTTCACTTCTAGAGACAAACTTAAGGATTTTCTGTGACACTTGTTTCAGAACAGATTAAGGAAGATTTAATACAGAAACTGCAGAAATAGAGAGTAGGGATTTATCTTCTGTTGCCTTCGAAGTACTATCATAAGATAAGTACCTTGTACAATTGTCCTCTTCATACTGTGGAAAACTACCCACCCAGTGAAAGCACCTTTTCTGATGTAATTTTTTTGTGTAATTATGATAATCATGGATTTTAGCTTTTTTTCAAATTCAGTACTACAAGAATGGTTTGTGCAAAAGAGAATAATAAATCGGTCGTGTCCTACCATCCTATACAGTGATATTCTAAGTTCAAGTGAAGTATTAAAAAAAACTCATATATTTGTATATAAAATAAAGTTATTATTTTAGTTAATGGTAGATTGCTGTATTAAATTCTCTAGGCTGCTATTTTTCATGCACAAACCAGAGAGGTTTTTAATCATTTTCACTTTTATTCATGCTGAGGCAAAAATTGATTTTGGTATGACTCATACTATGCATTTGCCTTAAATATGAATTGAAATTAGAAGAAGGTTGTATTAAATACTGTTTTACAACTGGATAAATTTGAGGATTACTACCTCTCTGTGGGTTTCAAACAGAGAAAATGAGATTTCCCTTCTGTAAATAAAGGAAAATGTTTCACTAATAATTTAATAATTGTTATATGCATTTTTAAAATGTAAAATTATTTTTATCTGTGTAATTTCATCCAACGTTGACTACTTGAACACTCTGCTACACTTCTCAAAATGTATCTAAATTTTTACGTCCTCAATTTCATCCCCCAAAGTACCAGTTTTAGTAGTTTCGAGGAGTACCTTCAGTTCCCTGGAGTTGGCTCAATTAAAGCTTTTTTTTTTTTATCTGACTTAGTGGTAGGGCTTAAAAGCACAAACCAAATGGTAACCTTGGTTTTAGGGCTGCATTTACAACTATATTAGTGCTGGTCATAGGGTAATAACTGTCACGCTGACAAGTGTTCCTAGTTTATTCTTCCACTTGTCTGTACAACAAAGAAATCTGTGCCCTCATATTTTCACAGGGGCAAGTGTTCAGCTGTGTAGAGCAATCAGAAGCAGCCTGTAGAAGTCCTGATTAGATTTGCCAGGAAAACAGAGCTATTTCCACTGCAAAAATATTTTCATAGGTCAGAGGCACAGCATGAATACAGCAAATATTTTTACAGTGAAAATAAACAAGTCTGCATTGGTTTTCATCATTAACTCTTTCTTTTCATATGCACTCCTGATACGTCTCACCTCTTCAGTTCTCTTTGTGTGTAATGTTTCACTTATAGCTTTCTTCTGATGATAATTTCTGTCTGTGTTTTCTTACTCCCTGTTATGGGAATTTAATCAGTATCTATTTGCTGTTTGCACAAAAAAAAATAGTGGCTGTTTTGCCATCTAAACTTTTTTTAATATGTAAATATTTTTTACAAGTTAAAACTCTGACTTACAGGATAATGTATTTTGCCTTTTGGCTGTTTACTTGCTTACTCCCTTCTCTACCCCATCCTTTGTAGGGATGTGTGCCAGAAAACCTGTTCTGAACCATCTTCCCAAGTTTCTTGGTTATGATGCTTTGCACAGGACTATGCATAAAAGGCAGTCTTAAAGTGAATGCTAATATTTATTCCATTTCTTCATCCTTATTATGGACACCTGGTTCAGATACCTTATATACCAGCATTGTGGCAATGGTCTGGGAAGATTTTACTCTAAACTAAGGCTTAAACGTAAGCTGAAATAAAATGACAACTGTAGCCATCCTTATAACAAGAAGGTGACATTAGTATTTAAGTTAGTGGTTTATCTGTTGTGTTTGCCTACATGACTGTGAACTCAGATCTCTGAATTTAATTGCTATTTATGTTTGGGAGTCAATAAATTACAAGAAAGAAAAAGGTGGTAGGAAGATGTACAATAGATCCCAGATTTTTTTCACATCATACTACAAATTTTGTGAATTTACATGGTCTAAAATACTGTAGATGCATTTGTTTTTAAGAGATTGTAACTCATACCATCATACTTCTGTTTTAAGTTTCACTTAGTATCTTTTCTTGTGCAGTGGCAGATTGCTAGATTGGAAGTATTGCAATTGGTTCAAGATTACCTACATTTCTGTTGTCCTATCAAGAAAGTAATTTTTCTATTTTATTTTTAACTCTTTTATTGCATGGTTCCCATGATTGGAAATTGCTTTCGTTTTAATAGTTGAAAAGTACTAGAAATGTAGCTTTTAATGATGTTCTAAGTTGATGCATGAAATGTAAAAGAAAAAAAAATAGAAATGGTTGGTTAAATAGCTGATGCAGGTTTTTAGGTTTTTTTTGGTGGAATACTTGCAGGAATGGATAAATAATCACAGTAGAGTATATTTAAAAGACTGTAAGTTATTGTAAAATTTGATGCAGGCGCAATTCTATTCTTTCCACCTGTGTCTTTTTTAATAAATTAAAGCTACAGAATTTGAAAACACTTTTTTTCTCTCCTTTTTAGTAATCTAATGCAGTTTGTAGGCTAAAGCACCTGTTTTTATTTCTAGATTACTAAAGAGGATTTCCAGACCTTTGATCATATACTTTGTATGGATGAGAGCAATCTAAGGTACTGTATGAAGAAATTGAACAAATTTATATGGATTACTTGCAGTGATGTCTCATAAGTCACTTTGAAGACAGATGTCACATTTTACTGCTTAGCTTGTGTTGGGGTTTGTTTGGGATTTTGGTTTTTTTTAAACGTATATGAATGATGTGCTAATGGATGGATTCTTCCCTTCTAATAAGTTTAATGAGCCAGAACTCATTGGTTTATTTGTGTGATACGTGCTACTCAAGGATTAAGGATATGGAAATTTAGTTACTTTATGCTATATACAGCTAATGCCTGTATAATTAAGAATGAGGATGTACTTACTGTCTTGATTGAAGTGATCAGTTTTTCTAATTGCATGGCATTTAAAGGACTAACTGGGAACTTGGAAGGGATTAAACATGGTGTGGTTTTTTTTACTTTTTGTATAGAAAGAGAGGGAACTCTGAAATAAGCAAGGTTGGTAGCTTGGGGAAGTCTTGTTTTATTGTTAGCTGTGCTAAAGTTAAGTGCACTTTGGAAAGATCTGGTTAAGTAGCTGCCTAGTGTGAAAATTTGGATATTGCTAGCAAAATTTCTACTCAATTACGTACATATTGAGGATTAAAGAGCTGAATTTAATAAACTACAAGTGTCAAAGTAAGGGCTTGTAAGGGCTATTGTCATGTTAGTTTAAAAAAGCCCAAACCACCACAACCAACAACAAAACCTAAATAAAGACCCTTTTAGTAACACATAAAGTCTTCTAGAAGCAGCACCACTTAACTGAAATAAGTATGATTTTGTTGAATTTTCTAGAATGTCTTGAATAAACTGTCTTCCACAGTCTTAATGAATGTAGGATATATAACACTTGGCTTGACTGCAGTGTCTCAGGCAATGACGTGACAAGGCTTCCTTCTATTTTCACTTGAATTCTTAAACAGAAATTTGAATTAACAATTTATATTATATGAGCTCTAGAGCGGAAGAAATGTCAGAACTGTAACAGGGATATTGCTGCTGCTGTGCTGAAGTTTTGCCTTTAGCTTGCACTGAGTTCAACCGTTTTGCTTAGGAATGCTTATTTGTAGTTCTAGGTGATGCCTGGAAAGGCTGACCTGGAACAGAGACTAGGCAGAGCAAAAGGAATAAAATAGGTATTTATTGAAAGGATACACCTTGGGCAGTGCAAGAGCCCGGCTGGGGCTACACCCAGGTCAAATCCAAGATGGATCCTGGTCACGAGTTTTACACTTGTGTAAGTTTTGATTCATCTACATATTGGGGTCGATTATCCAACCACAGCCCCAGGCTGTGTCGTCTCAGCCCCCTGCCTTGCCCCCTTCCCTTCACCGTTATTTCTGATTTTTGGGTATGGGTTGTCCTTGACTCTCTAGCTAGGAAGGGATTGTTTTGTTTAACTAGCCTGTGAAGAGAATTTACTAACACCTAATATGACGTTTCAGAGTTATACACCAAGCAGCAGATAATCTGAAAAATATGAAAGCTAAAACCATTCATAGGAGGGCAAGCTGATTCCAGGTGTTGATGGAATGCCTGTAATATCAGAAAAGGAAGATTTGGGACATGTATTTTCTTTAGTACCAGAGCCATCTGACCCTCTCCTGTTCATTAAGTGGTATGCCAAAAGCCTTTGAGGAGATGGTCTGACTTTTTTTTAATACTGCAAGGCTAGAGAATTTATTGAAAAATGTGCAAATTGAAACAATATCTTGATAGAGGATCTCTGATTTTTCTTCAAGCAAAACTGGTACTGTGGTCTCATTGCTATTTCTAAACTATCTGAAATTAATTTTTTAATCAGAATTAATAATTAGAATTTAATTTCTTAAAACTGATGTGGTTATGACTAAGTATTCACAAGGGGTTTCTTGGACTTTTTTAATGGTGAGTGAGTAAAATGATTTGGTATGGAGATGTGTAATATTAAAATAATTTAGCATGTTCTGGGAGTTTATTGTGAAGATGATAGTACTGAGCTGCCTTTTATCTGAAGATGATGGGAGCTGCATTTTAAGTGCCTTTGGAATAACAGATGACCATTTTTAAGAAAATAGGGAAATGCCATCTCAAAACTGGAATGCTTTATCAATGAGAGGCAATGTAGAAGGAAGAGGACGTGACAACTGGTGAAATGCTAAAGTATATCAAAAGGAAAACTGATTTACCATTTTCTGTTAACTGAATGTGGTAGGATTTCACATGAGCTAGAGCATACCAATGTAAAACAGTGGCTTTGAGCAGATAGGAGAATCTTACTCGTACTTCTGGAAAAATGCCTGGATAATTTCCACTGTTTTTTGTTCAATACAAGCTAAGAGTGAGTGTTGAAAGTACTAATTGATTTGAGGAAGAACTTGATGAACTGACTGCTACAAAGGTTTTTTAAGCTATGGGTCAAGTGCCTGACTGCTTGTTTATGCTCTGAATTCAGTTTGTCTTCCATGCTCAATTAAAAAAGAACGCACATAACAAGAAAAACAAAACCAAGAAGCAGCATAAAGTCCACAGAATTTACAGAGTCCAGACACATTATTTGCCTGTGTTGTCTAGAAATGGTCATGAACATCTCGTACTGATGCCAAAATTCTGAAGGAAAATTTAGGGGAAAATTTTATTTTCTCTTTTACAGAGATTTGAACAGGAAAAGCAACCAAGTTAAAGACTGCAAGGCCAAAATTGAGCTACTTGGAACTTACGATCCACAGAAACAGCTTATCATTGAAGATCCGTACTATGTAAGAAATTCTTTGAGTGGCCTGATTAAAAAAAGTGTGTGTGTAGTGTATAATCTTCCCAGATACCACAGTTGGCATGTGATACATAATCTGATGTTACACAAAGTGAAGTGTGAACTTTTTTTTTTTTAATGACTTAAGAAAACTATATATTACTGGGATAAGAAAGGAAAATGTTATTGTGCTGTTTGATCAACCTCCTTGCAAAGAGGATGTCATCAGGAAAGTTAGAGACAAAGCCATTGACACAGGTGGTGAAAAAAGTTGGATAATACCAGCCAAGAGCAAACAATTAGACTAATATTCTTCTGTTTAGGAAAGAGAAGAAGATGCAGTAGGGTTCTATAAAATCTTGATGTCATGGGGAAAGCTGAATAAGGAATTGCTAGTCATTACCCAGGAAGTAGAGAGTATCAAATGGTATTAGTGGGAAGTGGGTTCAAAACAAAAAGGTATTTGTTTTGGGTTTTTTGTTTCCACACAGTGCTTCACTAAACTGTGAAAGGCAACATGACAGGTTAGTATGAACATAAAAAAGGAAAAGATTTAAAAAGCTCAAAAGTGAGTGGAAGAAATATGTGAAGGAAAGTCATGCAGGACTGTTGAATACAAAGTCAGAGTTTGTCTGTGGAAATTCCTGAGCTCAAATTAGAGAAATATACCAAAGCTATCACCAAGTATTTGCACTGTTTTTATTTTTTCCTAATGTCTGTTGCTTGCCATTACTGACAGCAGAGAAACCAGTCTGCAATTTATATTTGCTCTTTAGCCAGTATTGTTCTTACAGTCTTTTTCTTCTCTTCTTTTCTAGGGGAATGAAAAGGACTTTGAAACTGTTTACGAGCAGTGTCTCAGATGCTGTAAAGCATTTTTGGAAAAGTATCATTAATGCTTCATCATATAATTTCTAAAAGAAAATAATTAGCTTCTTCTGAAATATGTAAAGTTTTCTTGATTGATGTATTATTTAAATTGTAAAATTATGCCTCTACATTCGATACTTACTCAGTTTGATTTTGTATTTTAGCTGTTCTGTCATCTAATGAAAAAATATAGAAAGGTTTCAGTTGGATAATATAATCAACCATGTTGTCACACATCAATGTAGTTATAAATTCAGGATAAATTTTTCTGTAAACTCTTCCAGTGCTTTCTCATAAGCACTACAAAAGTGACACCTTGCTTCTTTATATGTAATGCTAACTGAACCGAGGTCTTGTCATTCTGTCCTCAGTGAGTTGATTTCAGTCAATTTTCAGTGGTAGTCTGTGAGATAATAATTGATGTGTATCTTAGGTGTGTCATCCCAGTATCATCAGGCAGCCTTAGGATGGAAGCTGTTTCACGTAGAGCCTGCTAGACTAAAAGATCTGCTGCCTGATAGAACTAAGTCTTCCTTTGCTCTTCTGGTCAGTTCCTAGCACACTGACACAAGCACATGTAACACAGAATTCACTTAGAGGAGAAGACATACCAGCTTAAAAGCCGACATGTGAAATTACACTTTCTATCTCACAGTAGTAAAATACTCAAATCCATGCAAATACAATGGATGAGAAATTTGCTGTAATCCCAGTTCCTACATGAGGGTCAGACAGTATTTCCAGATTTACTTAGGAGAACGTACAGCCTGTCTAAAGTGTTCTTTGAGAGTATAGTTCAGTGTAAAGACAGTCCATCTGTAGTACAATAGTAAATTAGGAGAAGGCCAGTAAGACAGTTCTGCGCTTGGACAAAATTTGAATGTTTTGTAAAAGTCTGTGCCTGCTTTTCTGAACATCACCCTTCCTGTCTGCCTTAGACATGTAAATGTACTGAGATTAGTAATATACATGATACCATGATGATTTTCCTGTTTTGAATATTCTCAGCATTGGTATGAACTAGCATTACCACATTATCTGTAAAACTGGATCTATAAAATTTGTTTTCTTATTTAGCCTTGTCTTTTGTCTCTTGCTGCCTTCGAAACTTGTAATCTTTGTACTTGTAACCTGCTCGACCTTTTAGGAGTGAGATGGTTTTCAACAAAAGATGCTGTTATTCTTGGGGAGGTTGGACTCCTGGTGTCACTCTCTGTGTGTTGCAGACTTCACAGTGTTAAGTTTCTTGGGACTTTTGCTGTAGAATAGATGTGTTTGTGTTACTGAGATTTCTGTTTTGTGCTAAATGTTCAATCAGACATAAAACTTCAGAATCTGCTTAGAAAAGGCAAGATGGCAGAAGGAATACTTAAATACCAAAATCAGAATCTTTGTGCATTATTGCATTAACATCAGTTTTGACTTTTAAAAAATGAATTGCAAGCTAATGGCTATTTCACTTTTCAGGGACAAAGAGTAATACACTATTTCAGATCCAATTAAGTACTGACTTTGGAAAAAATATTTTTGATTCCTTTTATTAATGTTTTGACAAAGTAAATGGGGGAAAATTATGGGCACTGAGGGACAAAAGATCCTAAGTGTGGTTTGATGCACTAACCTCAAAGGTGAAAGTATTTAGCCATAATCTAGTGTTATTCCCTGCCAGAATGACCATTTTAAATATTCCAGTGAAAGTAAAATAACTCCTAAGATCGAGAGCAGGATGGTTTGTGCTTTCCCATTCATGACTATGTAGGAATTCAGCCTGTAGTTTCCTACTTATTAAGGCTAAGATTGAAAGGTCTTAAATCTTTATCTGTGAGCTGCTGGGATAACAAAGAAAATAAGAGGATATGTTTGTTTACCTTCACTAGACTTAGGACTCTTTCTGTAAAGTGATACTAAGTCAAAAACTTGTGTTAAATTCAGTTCACATTTTAAAAGTTTCAGCCTTGAGACAGATTTTCAGCAAGAAATCTAGTGATTTAATAATGAACCACCTCTACTAGGAGGAATAAGCTGGTTTTATTTTTATAATCAGTAGTTTTTTTATGGGAGAGGAGAAGGAGCACTATGGTATTTTATATAAATTTGTAGAAGCCCAGAATACAGAACAAGGATAGCCTTTGGGAAGGACAGTTGCACAGAACCATTATTTGGGTTCAAAAAGAAAGAGTGAATACAGGATTAAGACACAAATCATGTATCATGCAGATGACTAAGTGCTCACACATCCAAAATACCACTCATGAAAAATGTAATTTTGAATGGAAAAGATACAGAACTGACTTCTGTTTCTCCCTCCCCACCCCCACAGCTTGTTATATTTTAAGTAGTAAAGTTAAAGACTAAAAAAAAGTCTGCTATAGTATAGGTGTGTTTTCTGTCAGAGCATGGTGGCTTCTGCTAAATCTAGAGAAAACTTCTAGGGGATTAATTTATTTATATTAATTAATTAAATCATTAAATAAGTTGCTATTTCCCTTTTAGAAGGAGATTTTCTAGAAGGTTTTCGTATAGCCAGATTTTGGGTATCCTACTAGAGAAAGAAAGCTTCACAGTATTTTAAACTCCTGTGTTAAGTATTGGCCTGTGGTCTGGCCTGTGGAACCACAGTGAAGCACAGGGTTCCATCCACGTTTACTGTGGAGGAGCAGCTTTAGTGAATCCCACAGAAGTTGATCCCTTTAACAACAGGTTTTCTGCAGGCATGTATTGCATCCATTGAGACGTGGAACTTAGCCTTCAGTCATCATTGAAAGCAAATAAAAATACATATTTCTCCCCTGTTAAATACAGCTATGTTCTGGGATGGGATTTTGTACTTCTGCCATTCTTTCTTCTACACAGTTGGATGCTGAAGGCTCTGAAGTGTCAGTTTCCAGAATCTCAGCTCCTATAGTTCTCAGGGTGAGGAGGATTGTGTTTGGTTTTGGTTATACATTTTGTGGTTCAAACTGAGGATAGAATGGAAACTACAAATGCCATTATTAAGATAAAAGTGCCTGTGGTTCATTTTAGTAGGTTGGTCCTAGCTGGATGCTAGGCACTCACCAGAGCTTCTCTCTTGCTCCCCTCTGCAACTGGACAGGGGAGAGAAAATAAAACAAAAGGCTCATGGGTTGAGATAAGAACTGGGAGAGGTCACACACCAAATAGTGTACTGGGCAAAACAGATTCATGCTGGGGATTTTAACTGCAATTATTGCTAACAAATTCAGAGCAGGAGGATAAGAAGTAAATTAAGGCCTTAAAAACACCTTTCCCCCACTCTTCTTTCCCAGCTCTTCCTCCTCCCCCAGCAGTGCAGGGAGATGGGAAGGGGGGTTGTGGTCAGTTCATCACAAGTTCTTTCTCCTGCTCAGGTAGATGAGTCCTTCCCCTGTTCCAGCTTGGGGTCCCTCCTACAGGAGATAGCCCTCAATGAACTTCCCCAATGCGAGCCCATTCCACAAGCATCAGTCCTCTCCAATCTGCTGCAGTGTGGGTCACTCTGCCATGGGGTGCAATCCTTCAAGGACAGCCTGATCTAGCCTGGGTCCCCCACAGGGTCACAAGTCCCACCAGAAACCTGCTCCAGTGTGGGCTCCTTTCTCCACAGGTCTGCAGGTCCCTGCCAGGACCCTGCTCCAGCACGGGCCTCCCACAGGGTCACAGCCTCCTCTCAGCCATCACCTGCTCCAGCATGGCCTCCTCCATGGGCTGCAGGTGCATCTCTGCATCCCTGTGGTTCTCCATGGGCTGCAGGGGCACAGCTGCCTCACCATGGTCTCACCATGGGCTGCAGGGGAATCTCAGCTCTGGTACCTGGAGCACCTCCTGCCCCTCCTGCACTGACCTTGGTGTCTGCAGAGTTGTTCTTATCACATGTTTTCACTCTGCTCTTCTAGGGCTGCAATTACAACTGTGCAATAACTTTTCCTTTTTCAGCTGTCTTATCCTATAGGTGTTACCATTTCTGCTTGGCCCAGGACATCATCCTGGAGCTGTCTGGCATTGCTGGACATGGAGGAAGCTTCTGGCAGCTGCTCCCAGAAGTCAGCCCTGTAGCCCCTCCACTACCAAAGCTTGGCCTTGCAAACCCAATATATGGATTTATAGATCACACATAAAAATTTTCTTCCTGTTTGAGTAATTTTACTGTGACAACTGGAATTAATATCTGATTTAAGGAAGAAACGGAAATGTGTGTCATGGTTTTTGGAGTAGCACTAACTCCTTAAAAATTCCACAATACTAAAATGATTTACTGGGTATTTTCTGATTAGACTGCCTTGCAGTATCATGAACAGATTACACGTTATTAAAAAACAAACAAAAAGCCCCTTCCCAAATCAAACTCAAACCCCAAACAAAAACCTCAGAATATCTGTTAGCCTACAAAAATATTCAGTTTTATAAAGCTGTAGAGAATTTGAGCAGCCTTGTAGTCTGGGCATTCTGTGGGTTTGAAACATCTCTCTGTCCTCATAAATCCAGGGTGTCCAAGTTACTGAACTCTGAAGTGAGTACATCTTTCTTCTACAAGTCAAATCTTTGTGGAAATAAGTTTAAGTGTGGATAAATGATAGTAGCTAACAGAAGGTAGTTTGTTTACCTGGATTCAGTGAATAGAAAGCAAACTGAGAACAACTTAATACCAAACACTTTATTACTTATGCTTGTTATTTACAGTATTTACATATTGCACGTTCGCTGGAATGTTTTATACATTATATAAAGTAAATTAATGGCAGCTTGTGTTTGTATACAAAATCCATGCTCCACTATCCCAAAAAGTATGCCTACTTGGAATTACTGTTCCTGTTTGTCATGCAATTTGTACTCCAGGGTACAATGTGACCCCAATGCAAGTCTGTTTTAACCAAACTTTTAAAAAATTGTATAAGCATGAAGGATATCAAGTGACCACAACTATGGTGGAGCAGATCTGTAGTAGTTCTAGATATACAAACAAACATTCCTTAAAACTGTAGAATTAAGCAATAGAACATGAATTTTCTTGGTGAAATATTTGTGTTTACATAATTTTTGGCAGCATTACACATCAATTGTAGTGTGTTTTTAAGTACGGAGCATTAAGTACTACTGGCAGTTATGCTACGGTAGAGAATGTCAATCTGCAAACTGTCGATGACATACAAAATGCATGTTAAAAGAATTATGGGAAGTAGTCTGTCAATCTGCAAAAATAAATCTCTTGTTCACAATGGAATTTGCTAAAAGGTAGTAAGTTCTATTTCCCTGTTGGTTTCCAAGGCACTTCTCTTGGTTCTTGGTGTTTCTTGTCATGGTAATAACATCTGGTGGATTAAAAGAAAGAAGAAAATTGCCTTTCATTATTTTTATATTCACAAACGTGTTTGAGAATGTGTTTATCATAGTGAAAATAGTAAATAAACTGGAGAATTCAGTAATAACTTTGGAAAGATCAGTGAATTTCAGATTTAGCTCAGTTCATATCAACCTGACTGCTATATTAATGCTTCCTTTTGTTAATCAAGGCCAAAATTCTGGAAAGCATCACTTTTTTTGATGGTTCATTTTTGGTAGACACACTAGGGAAATCCAGTTCTACCTATTAAAAATGTGCTTATAGTTAATCTGTTCCAATGACTGCATCTGTGAAGTCAAAAAGTGAATAAACCTCAGGAATAGCATTAACAGATTGCAAAATGCTGTCTAAATACCTTGGTGTCAGGAGCCATTGATGGCATGCCCATCTTAAGGATCTAGGAAGGATTTGATGTTTCATTGGCCCATTTGTGAAGAAACTTGGATTCATATAAACAAGAAACAAATAGAAGTAACTTACAGCCCCTGGAAAATGCCAACACTGAGCCACCACAAACTAAGCAGGAGCTTCAGTGGTTCAATTTGCTGCCTGTTCTATTAAGTCTTCCAGAAGAGTTTCTTAGAATGAAATCACCACCATGCCTATGACACTGATATCAAAATCACCAATACAAAATTACAGGTTTCCACATTGCTTATGTATGTATTTTGTCTCTATTCTAGAAATGTTGATTCAGAGGTTGAGCAGTGAAGGTTTTCATAACCCTACTCCCCCACA